ACGTTATCATTGCCTAGTACTTTACCCTTTCTTGTTTTTAAACCCTTCAAAATTAGTTGCCAATATAATTATTGTCACTTTTTAGATACACTTTTTTATTTTTTTATTTTTATTGTCACTTTTTAGCTTCTCAGGTCTGCTTCTTTCCTTCAATTGCTTCCTTCGGGATTAATTTTTTTCTTTCTGAGGAGCATCCATTAGCAGTTCTTTCCACGAGGGCATGGAAGAGAACATCTTTTTCTTTTTTCTTGTTTTGTCTGAAATGTCTTTATTGGGCCTTCATTTTTGAATAACATGTAGTCTAGCATAAAATTTTAGGGATAATGATTTCCCTCAGCACTTTGAAGATAGCATCCTTGCCTCTCGTTGCTGATGAGAAGGCTGTCTAAAGATCATTTCTTTGTAGGGAAAATTTCTTTTTTCTGTGGTTTTCTGTAAAGATTTTCTCATTGTCTCTGGTGTCGTGAAGTTTCACTACAATGTGGCTAACTATAGAGTGATTCTATTTTCTCTGCTCAGAAATCACTGTGCCTCTTTCATCTAAAAATTCAGGTATCCATCTGCTCTGGAAAATTCATGGCTGAGTTTGAGCTGCTACTTCTATCTCAGGTGTCTTGGTTTCTGTTCTTCATTATTTCTAATCTTTTGGAAATCTCTACACTGAATTGGTACATTCATCTAAAGTGAATTTAGAACAGAAAGAAGTTCTCTGAGAGGTGATTTCTGTGTATTTTAGTAAAAGCAAATTTTACTTAGTAGCAGTACCCTCTGGGGGCCCCAGAAAAACTCCCGCCCACAGAGAACCCCCCCCCACCAGGTTTTACTGTGCTTTCAGAAAAACACAAAGATGAATGTTAAAGAATGCAGAAGCAAAAAATGACTTATAAACTGCCAAGAACATCAAAAGATCACCAAAGCTAACTAGAGAAAAGGGAAATTTTTGTAGTGTTCTCTAAACCTTATGATGAAGACTGAGGGGCCCATTTCCATGCTTGTAGCCATTTCAGTTGGGCTCAAACCCTGTGAATACACCCCAAGATAAGAGATTTCTCCTCCACCTTTCTGTCTTACCAGCCATCCCTTACTAATTCAGTACTGTTCTTAACCTGGATGAGAGAGACCAGCCGTAATGGATGGGGGGGTAGGGATAGGGGAGATAGCTTCACAGAAGTGAAGGGACTCTCCCACATCTAGCTAATTTTTTCTTTCAGCTGTTTTTTTTTTTTTTAAGATTTTATTTATTTATTTAATTGACAGAGAGAGAGAGAGAGAGAGAGAGTGAGAGAGAGAACAATAACAGGGGGAGTGGGAGAGGGAGAAGCAGGCTTCCCCACAACCAGGAGCCTGATGCGGGGCTCGATCCCAGGACCCCGCGATCATGACCCAAGCTGAAGGCAGACACTTAACAACTGAGCCCCCAGGTGTCCCTGTTTTGTTTTGTTTTGTTTTAAGATTTTATTTATTTACTTGAGAGAGAGAGAGAGAGAGCGCGCGCGCATGAGAGGCAAGAGGGTCAGAGGGAGAAGCAGACTCCCCGATGAGCAGGGAGCCCAATGTAGGACTTGATTCCAGGACTCCAGAATCATGACCCGAGCTGAAGGCAGTGGCTTAACCAACTGAGCCACCCAGGCGCCCTGTAATTTTTTTTAAAGGAGGCTCCTTTAAAAAAAAAAAAAAAAAAAAAGCAAGCTTTTTTTAAAAGCTTGAACTCAAAACCCAGAGATCAGGAGTCATATGCTCTACTAACTGAGCCAGCCAGGCACCCCAATAGCTAGCTGATTTTTTAGGAAGAAAGCTGAACGTTTGACAAGCCCCAGTCTGGTAGAAGTTCCCTCCACCACCCCAGGTTCCCTGAGTAGCATCAGGTGAGACTCAGGACACCTGAGAGCCTGGATTGTGGTCTGGGACCCTGTTCCTGTGCTCCAACATTCTCTGAGACGTCTCCTTTCGCTATTGTTGCAGATTTGAGCTGCAGTGGGGTGGTCTGCATGCGGAACGTGGCAGGGAAGCCAAGAAGGCCTGGGTTCTGGCCACACGCTGAAGGGGACATCTGGCCTGCACCTCTTCCCACTCTGCCACCTGCAAGGCCCTTTGTGCTGTGGAAGAGCACGATATCTGCCCTGCACTGCCTCACACCCACTGAGCCACCCGCCACCTCCCAAGGCCTCCGCCTTCCCTTCTGTGAAACAGGGATGACAGTAGTTTTGCCTACCCGTCCCACAGGCTGAAGGCCCGTTTTGAAAAGAGAAAAATATGTTTAAAATGTTGTAAGTCCATGGCACCTGGGTGGCTCAGTGGGTTAAAGCCTCTGCCTTCGGCTCAGGTCTTGATCCCAGGGTCCTGGGATCGAGTCCTGCCTTGGGCTCTCTGCTCAGCAGGGAGCCTGCTTCCCTTCTTCTCTCTCTGCCTGCCTCTCTGCCTACTTGTGATCTCTGTCTGTCAAATAAAAATAAAATCTTAAAAAAAAAAATTTTTTTTAAATGTTGTGAGTCCTGCAGGGTGCTACTCAAATGAGAAATTACTGAGAAACCTGGTACAATTCTGTTTTATAATCATATAACTGAAGTTTTATTTTAAAAATACTAATAGGGGTGCCTGGGTGGCTCAGTGGGTTGGAGCCTCTGCCTTCGGCTTGGGTCATGATCCGGGGGTCCTGCGATGGAGCCCCACAACGGGCTCTCTGCTCAATAGGGAGCCTGCTTCCTCCCTCTCTCTCTGCCTGCCTCTCTGCCTACTTGTGATCTCTCTCTCCCTCTCTCTCTGTCAAATAAATAAATAAAATCTTAAAAAAAAATAAAAAATAAAAATACTGATATATGATTATGGTATAAAGTACAAAGAATTTCAGAAAATCCTACCAAAACAGTAAGCATCCTTTATCTCAGCAAAATGTGGTCTCCTATATTCTCCAGTCTTTTTCCCATACTGGTATATATAATTTTTTTTTTTTAAAGATTTTATTCATTTGACAGACAGAGATCACAAGTAGGCAGAGAGGCAGGCAGAGAGAGGGGAGGAAGCAGGCTCCCCACCAAGCGAAGAGCCCAATTAGAGGTCGATTCTAGGACCCCGGATTCATGACCTGAGCGGAAGGCAGAGGCTTTAACCCACCGAGCCACCCAGGCGCCCCCATACTGGTATATATAATTGTTGATTTCATTTAATATCAAGAGCATTTGGGGGATAGTAAATATACTACATCATCATTGCCAATGATTTGAAGTTGTGGGTTTTTCCAACGGTGTGTGACCTGTGGTAAAGGAATTAATTAGAGAATATAACCAATCCCTACTGCTAGGTACTTCCACGGTTTCCCAGGTCTAAACAAAGCTCCAGTGTCTTGAAATGTACAACATCTTTGCACCCATCTACGGTTATTTTCATAGCAATGGACTTGCTAGATCAAAGGTCTGCGTGGGGTTTTTTTGTTTTTGTTTTGTTTTGTTTTTTATTTCTGCACAGTTTTTAAGTACTGGTACAAATATGTTGCCAAAATGACCTGTTGGATTTTCTGTTGAAAACTAGTTCCCGCATCGCCCCCAGCCCGCCCCATTTCCTCCAGAGGAACCGTTGGGAGGGCTCCGACAGTCCAGCCCTAAGGCCCTAAGGGAGGAGGTATTCAATCATGAAAAAGGCTTGAGGGGCCAACCCCAAGCACCTCGGCTCTTGGACCCCGCAGGCGGATCCCCCTGGAGCGGCCCCACGGCTGGGCCTTCCCGGGATGAATTTACAAAGAGTGCCCAGCGGGTGCCAGGAGCCCATTTCCATGCAAAGTGCTCGGCCACTGCCAAGGTGCTGGCGCAGCGGGGGCGGCGCCGCACTGGGGAGGGGGGCCTGCGAGTGCGGCCACTTCAAAGCGCTCGGTTTGGGGCGGGCAGAGGAAGGGGCCGGGCTTGGAGGCCCACAAAGGGAAGCCTCCTAAGGCTGCCCCTTCCCCACTGAGCAGGCCAGGGACACACAAGGCCAACAGTGCAGAGGCTGTGCAGGTGGGGACCTCCTCCTCACCCAGCTTCGGGGGACACCCTCCGAGGCTGCGACTCAGCTCCACTTAGGAACCTGACCTGCAGACTCTAGGCGCCCTCGGTCGGGGGCACCACGGATCTGAGACGAGAGCTGCAAAAGACCAGCCCGAGCCAGAACAAAAGTAACACCCTAAGCTTTTCCACCGTGCAGAATTCCCCCAACCTCGGCTTTCGCTTTTTGGGTTAGGAGTGGGTATCATGAAAGAAACGAGAAGTCAAGATTTGAGTCTGAAAGGATTACAATTCTCTCCCTCCCTACCCCCCAGTTCCAGTATTACTGCAGAGTTAGCAAGCTAAGGCCAGTGGGTAATGGGATACTGGACAGAGCGTAGCCTGGCCTGGAGTTCCATCTGGGCTCCCGCTCCAGACCCACTCCCCGCCCCTCACCCCACCCTACCCCACCCCACCCCGCCCCCCCCTTTGAGGAGGGAGAAACTTTCCAGTGCCCCCTTTCCACACTCTCCTGCGGTAAGGCGTGTACCAGGGTAACACCCCCCACCCCATAAGCAGCAGACCCTTGGGGAGGGCTGCTTGCTCATCTGAGGTTGTACGAAGTTTGAGGGGGGAGGGGGGATCAGTGACCCCCACAAGCTGCAGCGTTGCAGAAAAGGGCCTCATCTCCAATAGCTAAATAGCTGGCCCTAGGGTGTAGCCTTCATCTGCAGGGAGTGAGCAGCCTGAGCCCATCTTGCAGACACCTAAGTATTTAAGTTCATTATTCACCTATTCAACAATCTGTTAGGTACTTAGTCTGTGCTCAGCACTGGGATGGCAACTATGAACAACTCAAAGAAGACATTCAAAATTTACACATAACCCAAGAGAGAGGCACACAGGCACAAAGCCTACCTCAGACAACATTTCTGCCCTGGATTAGAATTGGATCCAAACTTTGCCTCCACCAGAGAGGGGCCTGGAGCAGCTCTCCTGAGCTCCCAAGGAGCTTCCCTTGGCTCCCACCAGATTTGTGGCGTGGTGGTTGAGGCTTCTTCCGTCCTGCTTTCTGGTAACTGTAACAAACAAAGAAGCCAACAGTCCAGAGGAAGCTTCTTCCTGATGATCAAGGTTGCAGATGTTCATGAACAACACCCAGGGGTCAAAAGACAAGGAGCCTGGTGAGTGGCAGGGTGTCCAACTCAGCTCTGGGCAAAGGCACTGGCTAAATGGAGTCTGTATTCTGACCCTCAGCCTGTAAACTGACCATCCTCAGGGGCAGAAGTGTCCCTCTCAAAGCCACCCGGAAAGAGGGATGTTGTTATTTCCGAGTGTCCAGGCTCCAGGTTCCTCCAACAGCCACCCCCCCCAACCAATGATGTTCCTCCCCACCCCCCAACCCCAGTATGAACTCCTGTAATGCAACAGGGAACAAAGAGCGCCCTAGGGTCCTAAAATCTCAAGACCTTTAGAAGACCTTCTCTGGAGATGTGGTGTCTGTCCTTTCTGTTATAAAAATCCCAGAGCCCTTCCCTACCAGCCTCAGCCTTTCATTAGGGTCCAGAGGGAAGAATGGGGTGAGCTAGAGGTGGGTTCAGAAAGGGCTGGTGCCCAGAAAGGGCTGGTCTTGTAGGCTGGGTCTAGGGATAAGAGGCTCTGGGCTTCCAGACCCAGCCAGAACACCTTCAGGGACAGCCTTGCTAGCCAGACCTCTGGACCCACTACTAGTACCCTGAAGAGCCCTGCCTCCCACAGGGATGCCAATTAGAACATTCACTCCTCAGTAGAGTGAGAAGCCTGGGTGCATTCTCCTTGAACATTTTCTCCCAAGGGTGATATGACTCTAAGCAAGTGAAAGCAGAGTAGCCAACACCCTGAAGGTGGTAATTCTCAAAATAAGTTCCCTGACCCAGCAGCCTCACCTGGAAACCAGTTAGAAATGCATATTCTCAGGCCTAGCCCAAAGCTCCTAAACCATAAACACCAGGGGTCTGGCCCAGCAAGTGGAATCTTCTAAAGCCTGCTTCTCCCTCTCCCACTCCTGCTTGAGTTCCCTCTCTCACTGTCTCTTTCACTCTCTGTCAAATAAATAAAATCTTTGGGGAGGGGGAAGCTTTCCAGGTGATTCTCATGTACAAGAAATTATAAGCATCACTGTTTTGGGAAGAAGAGGGCATATTATTTCACCTTTTACTTGAATGCCTCCTCTGACAGACATCTCATCACCAAACAAGCCAGCTTTCCTTGAGCGGAGCTAGGCTTAGAGGCACATACAAGGATGTTTGCTACAGTATTGCTTATGATGGTAACAATCTGGAAACAGTGTGAAGGAATATTCATCAGTCACAAAATAGTCAAGTAACCTATGGGAATACACACTTGGGAATACTAAGCTGTGGTTATAAAAGAATGAGGCCAGTTTACATACATTGATGTGCAATGATACAGATCTTCAAGATGTACTGTTAACTGATAAAGGAATAAAGGAAGTGATAGAAAGAAGTTGCTAAATAATACACATAACTCAGATTTATGTGTTTTTTTCTTAAGTTCACAGAACAATCTATCCTTTTATCGGTACACATATAAATGAAATGAAAATATATTGAACAGACTGGAAGAAGACCCACCCAGAAGAAAACCCCCAGGTAGGGTCCTGGGATGGGAGAGCTTTAGCTTTAACCATGTTTTCCCCCCAGTGTCTGCATGATTTACATCATCAGAAGTCATTTTTAAAGAATGGATAAAAACTTTGAGGGGCAACTGGTTGGCTCAGCTGGTAGAGCATGTGATTCTTGATCTCAGGGTCCTGAGTTCAAGCCCCAGGATGAGCAGAAAGCTTACTTTAAGAAAAAAAAAAAAATTTAACTTGAAATTAAATCTACTTAGAAAAAGGAAGTCAAGCCAAGCAGCAATCATTCCGGTGTGAGGTGGGGGGGCTCACAACCTGGTATCGAGCACAGAGCCAGGGTGGGAGTCAGGTGCCATAGTGCTCATGAATGCCAGGTCATCCCAAGAAGAGAGAAGGGCTGAGTAGTAGGAGTGGAACACAGGAGCTTTTGTTGCCTGGGGGGCTGCTGGTCAGGCCAAGTCAATCTCACCTCTAAGGTGTTTGTAGCAGCCTTACCCCTTCCTCTCTTGGTTCTCTCAAACCCATCCCCATCACTCAAGCAGTGGGAGGACCTTTGGTTCCCCTTTCTGAAGAGCACTTGGAATCTAAAAAAGAAACTAGGGAAGAAGGACGCTTACCCCACCCTGCAAGGAATCATGTGCTGTTAGAGGGAGGTCCAGGCAGGTAAGCAGAGATCTGGTATTTGGTAATCCTTACATAAGCTGTGAAAACATCCACCAGGAAGGCTTGTTTTCCATGCAGACCTAGACAGAGCAAACAGAACAGTCATGGGTGTCATGGTGACTGTCCTTGTCCTCTTCTCCAGCCCATCTGTAAACCTGCTCAGTGCTGCAAGTCCTCCAGCCTTCTGTCCTTTCAAAAGACCTCAGGACCTTTCACACACTGTGCCCTTGGCCTGCAGTGCTCTCTCCCCAAGCCCCCATTTACCAAGGTAACTGCAATGTCGGCTTCAGATCTCCGTTGAACTGTCACTTCTTGGGAAGTCCTTCCTGAATGCCCCAGACCAGGTCATTTCCTGCTGAGGTCAGCCCTCATTTTAGTCTTTTTTTGTGTGTGTGAGCTTTCTTCCCATTATGGGGCTTGATCTGACCCTGAGATCAAGAGTCACATGCTCTACTGACTGAGCCAGCCAGGTGCCCCAGCTCTCATTCTAGCCTTGGATACCTCCTTCGTATGTTGCACATGTTACAATGATATGTTTATGTGTGTCTAATATTTGTGTTTTGTCCCTCTCCCCATCTTGCCTACTGGACCCTGAGCCCTGGGCCCCTAGGCGTGTCATCTCATCCAAGGACACAAGGCCATTAGGTACAAGAGGCTGAAGAAGTGAGAGGCAGGAAAGACAATAAGAGAATCAGGTTGTCTTAAAGAAATGTCAGTTTCCTCACTCAGCACAATTGGGGCTTATATGGATACCTAACAGTTCTAGGGGAAGGTCTGACGTAATGGCCAAATAATAATTACTACTAATTAGCACTACCCTTGTGAGAAAGCACTTAAAGTGTTCCTTCTTTTTTTTTTAATTAAGATTTACTTATTTATTTGAGAGAAAAAGAGAGAGCAAATACACGTGCAAGCATGAGCAGGGGGAGGGGCAGAGGGAAAGAAAGAGAGAGAGAGAGAGAAGCTCCAGCAGACTCCCTGCTGAGAGAGCCCAGAGCCCAGCACAGAGCTCAATCCCACGACCCTGAGAGCATGACCTGAGCAAAAATCAAGACTTGGATGCTTAACCGACTGAGCCACCCAGGTGTACTAAAGTGTTTCTTCTTTTAAGAGATCAAACATTCACCCTTAAACCTCCTTACTCTCCCACTGGCCTGGCAAAGCTTTCTTTCCCTGGGATAGGAGGAAAACCTCAGCCTGGTCCAAAATATCAAAAACTCTAAATCCTTTCAATAAATCCTTCCTGAGCATCTATCGTGTGCCAGATGTAACCTCTGCACTCACAGGGCTTATTCCTCACAAGAGAGGGCTTTATGCCACAGCCCCCTGCCCTGTCTCCCCACACTGTGACTATATATTCCCATCACGCTGGAGCGCCCATGGACCTTCATCATCGTCATCATCATCACCATTATCATCAAGACTAACATATAGCATAACAAATAGCACTTACTAACACTAACAAGCACTAACAAAACACCCTTACTGGTATGCATCCAAGTCTGGTTAAGAGCTTTACACATAGTCACACATTTAATGCACACAAAACCCTAAGAAGCAAGTACTCCTCCATTCTACAGAGGAGAAAACTGAGGCACAGAGAAGAGCAAGGCCTTCCTTTTGCCTTCCCAGCACCTATCCAACTGGGGTGGTGGGGTAGGCTGTTTCTCCAGGCTGCTCCAGAAATACTTTATTTCTTTCTTTTTCTTTTTTTTTAAGATTTTATTTATTTATTTGACAGAGAGAGAGATCACAAGCAGGCAGGCGAAGAGAGAGGGGGAAGCAGGCCTCCTGCCAACTGGAGAGCCTAATGCGGGGCTCTATCCCAGGACCCTGAGATCACAACCTGAGCTGAAGGCAGAGGCTTTAACCCTCTGAGCCACCCAGGTGCCCCTCCAGAAATACTTTCTTCAGAGTTTGGGAAAAATGGAATGTGGGTTATCTGAGTGTTCCAGCCTTGGCCACACGTTAGATGTCCAGCTAAAGCTGGAGAAGGACATAAAAGGCATTCAGTGTCTACAGGAATACCCCTGGAAAGAGACCCTTCTCCTTTGGCTTTTTCCCCTAATTATCAGTGCCACAGGTTGTGTTCCTTATGAAGCAAGCTGCCATCAGGGAACCTGGGGAGCAGGTGGAGGTGGGGAGTTGCTGTCTCGTGCCAGCTGTTTCTAGACCTTCAATTCCCTAAGGATATGAAGGGCACAGAGAAGGCTGTCCGACACGCAGCTGCCAAGCCCCTGCTCTGTGCTCCACCCTCCTTGACGAGACAGGCCTGGGCTGGCCTGCAGACACAGAACCCAAACGGAGCCCTGGCCTCAGAGGCTGGAGATCTACATGGGTGGTTCATGCAAAACCAACCTGTACACACATGCATAGGAGGGAAATCAACTGGCTCTCCTTCAGGAAAGGCGACAGGGAATAGGAAAATGGAGGAGGGCATTTGGCTGAGAGCTAAGAGCTTTTGCGGTGGAATGCCCAGGGCAGGCAGGGGTCTACTCAGAGCATCATGCAAAGCCCAGGGCACCAGGTAGCTTAGGGCTTGCTTAGGGAGCCCCATGTGAAATGGCAGCATGTCCTCAGCACAGAGAGATCACTCAGGGAGCAGAGATGAGCTGGGAGAGATGGGAGGCCCCCCTGGGCAACTACAGGCCACAGTGAGGAATTTAGATTTACCACACAGGGCATGCAAGGTCATAATAGTCAGCAAAGAAAGTCCATCTGTGATGTGGTCCTTCAAGCATCTAGGAAGGACGGCTCTGGCTGCTGTGTGGTCTGTGGCTGGAATGGGGCCAGGTAAGACAGAGAAGAGAGTGACAACATCCGGTGAAGGGGGCCAGGGGTCTGCATTCAAACTGTCACAAAGAAGATGAAGAGGAGGAGACAGATTTTGGACACACCAAGGAAGAAGGACAGGTGGACTCGGGGTCCACCCAGGGTGGGAAATGAGGGAGTAGGAAGCCAGAAAAGTGCCTCGAATGTGTCTGGCCCAGGTGAGCAGATGGAGGTCGTATTTGCTGAGCCAAGAACCTAGGAGGAGCTGCACTGGCTTGGGAACCTCTTCCATCTCGATCTAGATCCGCTAAGCAAACATATACGGAAGGCCCACTGTGTGCCTGGCTAGATGTTCCCTTTGTTGACAAAGCCATAGATGAGTTACATCGTTTTTATTCCAGGCTTTCCCAGATGAGGAGGCTCTGGCCAAGGCATCCGCTGCTGGGCCTCCCGGACCACTGACACCCCAGACTTTCACCCCAAGAAACCCACTCCCCAAGAGAGCCCAGAGGCCAGATAGAAAGAGAGAAATAAAGGCTGTTGTTGACACGAGAGGAAAAACCAGGCTTCCTGTTTGAACTCGGGTAGGTACTGGAAGTTGTGAGTAATGTCGAATCTTGGCCGGCTCCGAAGGCGGTCTGCGGTGGGGGCTTCTCACACTCGCTGTGAAGAGCGGCTTTGAATCACCCACTTGCAGGAGACCTGGGGCCCGTGGCAGGCCTGTGGAAGGAGTGCTGCATCCACGCGGGCAGGCCACAAGGGAGGCAATCAGCGTGCACTGCCGGCTGCAATCGCGTGTCCTCCGGAAGGACCCAGTGTCAAATGCTAAGAGCTTCTCACATCTGGGTCCCCAGTGCCATTGGCTCCTGTGGCCAGACCATTCCCAGGCCCCTGGAGGCTGGAATTGTCACCTTTTATCCCACTTGAGGTCGGACCTGTGCAAGAGGCCACGGGGGGCTCGGGGTCTACTCTGGACCAGGAATGCTGGCCGGCACGAAGCCAGCTCCCTGTGGGACCTGGGGAAGGGTCCTTGGCCTCTCCCATCCCCAGGCCTCTGTCTGGAAAGGGAACCCATATGGGAATAAAAACCTCAAGCCAGCTACAGAGGTAAAGTCCCAGACACTGGGTGAGTGCCTTATCTCGTTGGAGCCTCACAACATTCCTGCGTCACAGACAAGGAAAATCTTTTTGTTCTAAAACGTACATATTTTTTTAATGTTACTGAGGTATAACTGAAGTATACTAAACTATACATAATTAAAGTATATAATTAAATTCTGATGTGATTTCACTCATGCAATCATTACCACAAGCAACATAACAAACGTTCCCATCTTGCTCAAGTTTCCCACACCTTTTTGTAATCCACTCCTCCCTCCTTCCACCTCCATCTCGGGCCACCTGACCTGCTTGCTGACAATATAGATTCCTTTACATTTCCCACAGGTATTTTTTTTTTAATTTTTAGAGATTTTATTTGCTTATTTGAGAGAGTGAGAGAGCACAAGCGGGGGCAGAGGAGGGTAGAACAGAGGGAGAGAGAGAAGCAGACTCCCTTCTAAGAGGCTTCTGACGTGGGGTTCGATCCCAGGACCCTGAGATCATGACCTGAGCCAAAGTCAGACGCTTAACTGACTCAACCACCCAGGCACCACTTCTACAGCTTTATATAAATCTAGTCATATGATATATGCACCCTCTTTTGTCTGGGTTTTCTCATTCAACAGAATTGTTGTGAAATCTACCCATGTTGTTGCCTGTGTTGCCTGTATCAATAGTTCACTCTTCTTCATATTGCTGAGTAGGAGTCCATGATATGGATATACCACAATTTACCCAGTTACTTACTGGTAGGCATTTGGGTTGTTTCCAGTTTCTAGCTGTTATAAAATAAATTGTTCTAAGCATTTGAGAATGTTATTATGTGCATATGTTTTCATTTCTCTTTCATTTCTCTTCTAAAAGTGGTTTTACAGTCCCATCAACAGTACAGTAGATTCACATCCTCACCAATACCCAGTATGGTCAGTTTTGGGGTGTGTGTGTGTGTTTTTCAGTTCTGTTGGATATGGTAGTGGTATCTCACTGTGGTTATAAATTTGCATTTCCCTGGTGACTAATGATGCTGAGCATATTTTCATGTGCTTATCAGCCATTTGTATATTTTCTTTTTAAAAAATTTTTTTAAAGATTTTATTTATTTGAGAGAGAGAGAAAGATCTCAAGTAGGCAGAGCAGCAGGCAGAGAGAGAGGAAGGGAAGCAGTCTCCCCGCTGAGCAGAGAGCCCGATGCAGGGTTCGATCCCAGGACCCTGAGACTATGACCTGAGCTGAAGGCAGAGGCTTAACCCCCTGAGTCACCCAGGCGCCCCATTTGTATATTTTCTTTTGTGAAGTGCCTTTACAAATCTTAACATCTCAGAAACTGAGACACATCTTACAGTTGATGGCTTACTATATAGTTTAACTGGCAGAGGGCAATTTTTCTTCCTTGGCGGGGACATAAAATACGATACACCTAATGATAGATGGAGTCTTAGATTTATGAAATACATGAAGTCACTTGTCCTGGAAGACACAGTGGATGGGGGAC